TCACATGCATTGAACAAGTTGTGAATTTTGTACCAGATGAGACTGTGGCCTCATGTTAGTTCTCAGAGACCTTAATGGCTCAGACTTGCTGATTAAGTCCTCCAATTGACCATTGTGCAAAATAGTCTTATAATCCAAGTGTGGTATTTCCATCCTGTGTTAACCATACTTCTGGGCCTTTGACTTAATAGGGCTGATGCTGTTTTTCAGATTGCACTCCGAAGCCCCTGTTAGCAGGTGGAAGTCATGCTGCAATCCAGGTTGATATATCTCGCAAGATTCAAGAAGATCCTCTGCTACAGATTCGAAGGAAGCAGGAAGAAACACGTCGTCGTATTCTTGAACATCCAGTCCTGCTCCAGCAACTTCGAGAAGTATGAAGTCATTTTCTCTGTTAATGATAACTTGCAGACAAATGCTTGACATGCTTCCCCAAACCCTAGTGTTTATTTTTTATGTGCACTATAAAACTCTGCAATTGGTACTCTTTAGACCCAAGGAACTCCTACCCCTAGGATAATGGCCTTTAGGCTGAGTTATGTACCACAAGTATTTTAATGTTTGATATTTTGAAGGGTTCATATATCCACCAAAGCCCTTCAAAGTATTTATTCTGCATCTGGCAATAGCTGAGGCTGTAATTAATCAATGCTGGACCTTAAGAATTTATTTTAGTTAGCCTGGGCCTGACTCGTTGAACATATCTCATTCCAATATAGAAATGTGCAAGTGGCCAGGAAGGTAAAGGTGAGAAAAAATCCCTTAAAAAGAAGAAGGAGAAGCATAAGAAAAAGAAGAAGAAAAAGAAGCGGAAGAAAGGATCTTCAAGTTCCAGCGACTCCTCGAGTGACAGTGACGATGATTTAGACTTGAAGCTCAAACAACGTCTATCTGGTTTGAGCAAGGATGATCTGATGAAACTAGTCAAAGGAGGTGGCAATGATGCCATCCCACAGAAAGGAGCACAGGCATCTTCATCTTCGTCTCATCGACAAACGGAGCCTCACCATGATCAGAGAGAAAGGAGGCCCACAAAGGTAATATGAGATTCTGGTCTAAGGAAATGTTCCTCTTTTCCATGCTTGCTGTGGAAGTCATAGCTCATGAATTTAAAACTGTTTGTTTTGCATCAACAATGGAATTGGAGGACAGAAGGGAACAAGTGATGAAATTCAGTGTTTATACATTAGGATTGTGAGTGAGATTATACATTTGTTAACAATGTTAAGAAGAGAGATAGCTGTATGCAAACATCTTCTCTCCAACTAACAGATATTTTAATGATTCCAATTCAAGTCTTTTGGTCCCAGAGTCATAAGGCACTACCCTCCCTGATTAACTGCTCTTGGTTATATTCTGGTTCTGTTCCTTATATAGCAATTTTACATACGAGGGTGATAAAAAAAATATCAGGGACTGAATTTTTTATGATGCTGTGGTGACTCTTTCCAACTACTGATGGATATATCCTTCAAAGTAGTCTTCTTCAGCATCTACACTAATTTTCTGGCGTTTCTTCAACCGCTGGAATAATTTCTGACATGCATCTTTTGGAATCAGCAGCAGCACTCATGGCACATTCATAATGCTGCTTTAAATGTCCTGAAATTTGCTTCATTTTCCAATTTTTTTGGTTTCTAACCTATCTCAAAATCCCTGTGCTTTGTAAACCACCCATCTCGCTGGACCTAGCTCATAGGATTTTCTTCTTAAATTGTTAATGCAACGTGAGCACTGCTGGTGATTCCAAATGTTAAGTGTCAGCAATGTTTCCAGCAGCTGAAGAAATGCCAGAATATTTGTGTAGATGCTGAAGAGGACTAGTTCAAAGGATATAACCATCAGTAATTTGAAATGGACATTACAGCAACGTGAAAGTTCAGCCCTGGAAATTTTTTATCACCCCATTTATGTTTTGTGAAGTTGTCAACATGTGATAGGCATGAATAATAGATGAGCAAATTCATGATCCTCTCTCTTAAACCTCAAGTTTAGTTCTTTAACTTGGAAAATGCTTCAGCTGGTGTGTTTTGGGGCATATCTATAGGATGAGAGCGAGACCAGGAGGCCTAAGCAAAGGAGCCGAAGTCCACTCGACAGGAGGAGCCCACCAAAACGGAGAAGCCGTAGCCCGGGGAGATGGAAGGGAAGCTCTGAAAGTTCCCCCAGTAGGCCAGGAAGGGCTGCAGAGAGATCCAAAGGAAGTTACCCCCAACGAGATGATAGACGGAGTCAGAGTCCGAGGAGACCGAGGGACTGGAACTCTAAGGGAAAAGCTCCTAATCCTCAGGATGGAAGGGCAGGCCCTGGACTCCCCAAAAAGAAGCTGACTGCTGAAGAAATTGAGAAGAAGAGGCTGGAGATGTTGGAGAATGCCAAGTGGAGAGAGGAGCAGCGGGCAAAGAACCTGAAGAAATACCGAGAAGAGGAGCACAAGGAGGCAGAGGAGATGAAACGCAGGGACGATTCCTTCATCCGGTTTGTGCTTCAGAATGATGATAGGTTTCAAAGTCCTTGTTCTGGTACTCTATCTGAATCCCCATGTCCCACTTGTCACTCACAGAAAGGAACTGTCGACTGCTGCTGCCAAGGAGACCCTGGAGGGAAGGATTCGAAGCAACATCTACAACATTCAGAGAGGACGTGATCATATGGACAAGAATTTTGCTCGAAAATGATCTCGATTTTGTTCTTCTTGTCCTGTTTTCTTGTAAAAAAAAACTTGAATCTTGTTTTTCACTGTTGAATCAGTTTCTTCATCTTTGAATATGCCCATGAGATTGCTATCTTAGAGGGTTCAATAGAATTCCCTTGGGCATTTTATCCATACTGATTTGTCTTTTTCAGGCTAGGAACATTCACTTTTAGATCTCTTGGATGTCAAAAAAGTTTCTGGAAGGTTTTGACAGTTATATTCAGAAAGAAAAAAAACTCTTACTTAAAGGACTTTGTATGTTGTGTCTCTTCTTTGAAACTCCCACAAGCCTGCCTTGATTGCCACAAGATGGCCAGCCTGATATTTGTTAATTTCACTCACACACATTGCAGGTGTTCCCAGAACTCCTTCCTAGTGGCTGCTTTTTTGTCTGAATG